AAGACGCGTTGGGCCTGCCGTGTGCCTAAGACTGGGATTGATGGTAAACTTTATTTCTTCAGAAGGAAACTGCCGACGATTCTGTTAAATGGCCATCAGCCCAATCCTGACGCCCTACGCTTACCGTTTGAGGACTCTTGTTCAGTGACGAACGCTACCGCTACGTCCGTAACGCCCACAGGCTTTGCGTATGGTATTCTAATTCTCGACTATTAGCTTGCACTTTTTGTGTCTCAAATAAATCTCTCCTTGTGTCGAATTAATGCTTTTATTGTTGAAGTAAGTTATAATTAGTACTTCTCAAAGCTTGCTGTTAGTTGCTGGTGTGAGAATCCAAGATTTGCGGCCAGTTTGTTTTCTATTTCGCTCTGTATGGTTTCGTGAAAAGTTTTCCTCGCGTAATTATCGCACCCCCTAACTTTGCATCGGTTTTCCGCCAAAAAAAGTGCGAGGATTACGCGAGTAAATACGGTATATATGAGCACGAGTGCTCATGTTTACCAGTGATTTTTTAGCCATATGAACGCCACTTTACTCGATATTTTGTTACAGTCGACTACCACTTTATTATAGAGTTTTAGTTCAGAGCACCACAGCCTAGCGCACGCATCATCAGAGAGGGAGCCCGGCTGCGCATGTGCTGTACGTAAGAAAGATGCGTGCGTTTACGCACGCGAGTGATGTGTACACTAGATCTCGGCTCTTACGTTGCGCACGCTACAGCCTTTGGGTACCTTAGCAGTGGCTCTTGCAAGATCTCCCCCTGGTGAGAGCACGAAAACCAAGATGGACGCGACCAACAGCAGCACAAGCAGCAGTGCGGTTGCGAGTAAATCCCGAGAGCATTTTAGGATTGCGCTCGATTTGGAGCGTCTTGCTTATGTGAGGAGCTTAAATCCGTTCGCAGACCCCGTACAATAAACAGTTATCGCTGTGAAAATACTGCACGTGACGGGGATGCCTTACTGGACGTGACGGGGATGCCTTACTGGACGTGACGGGAATGCCTTTCAACGCCCGGAATGTCCGCAGTCGGACGGAGCTACTCGTGAAATCCTAGCTTGCTTGATGTTTTGACTAATGTCAAATATAGTTAACTATTGTAGTTTATTGCTTAGTCACTAGGTGGCGCCAAGTAGCACTCCAAGAGGAAGGTGTTGATGTTTAGGCACAGTCCGCCCGTTGTCGCATACGCTAAACTGATACTGTAGGAAGCAGCCTCAGCTATAATGTATGTAGCGCACTAGTCGTTGCGCACGTACCGCCTTGGGCACACTAAACTAAAACTTTCTATTGTTAACAAAGCACATTGGGAAGACATAAAGGAAAAAAAAGGAAGAGTAAGGACGGCCGTACAACCGCAGTACTGTTGACCTGTTTTCGCTTCTGAGGTAGCACACAAGGCTCACCGAGCGCAAAGCTTTAGTTAAATTCAGACATTTGAAAAAAAAAAAAAAGGGTATGCCAGGTAAAGTTAAATAACTCCACAAGTTTATGCATAAAAGAAGTATTATAAAAAATGCTCTACCAATATTCAAATACATTGGAAGTTACAAATACCCATATTTTTGGTGTACAAGTTGAACAGCTGCCTGAACAAAAATCTGGGAAGTTTACAAATGTGAAAGTATAATGTTTGAGCTAGTTGAGAAAGTGGCTCAAATATAAACATCACTTATGTACATAGACTAAAACACACAAAACGTGATTATCTTTCTCTGAGAGAGGGGGAAGTTGTATAGGAGCCAGCTGGTTTCTTTTTGTCTACAATAGCTGAACGTCAGTGTAATACGTTTTCCGAGGGGACCTTCACATACATTGAAGGTTTATAGTGCTTAGCATTGGCACGGCTCAGAGATTTTACAAGAATATGTATACGAGTAATCACATAAAGTACAATTCTTCCCATGGCAATTGATTACGCGCTAACAAGGCACCTGGCTGCAATTCACTGCTTTTTTACCCCCCCGCCCCCCTGCTACTCCGAGACAGCTAAAAATTTTCTTATCAATTAACCCAGTGTGTCTGTCATCTCTTTAATAATTATAAAGCGATGACCTAATAGGTGAATCAAGCCTACTGTGTACCACGGGCATATACATAATTATCACGCTTGTTTCTGCATGATCGCTCGTAACATGAACTGAGGCATACATGGTAGTGCAGTGCTAACGATTAATTTACTTTGGTGTGTCCATTTTTTTTAAAAGATAAAATCCTTAGCTGCCTTATCAAACAAAGGAATTGACCGCCAGCGTGTGCATTAACACGAGCGATGCGAAAAATTGTCACCTTAAGAAATCACAGATAGATTATATTTGTGATATCTTGTGTTATACAGCATGTGTTATACAATGATGTCATCACATGACATGGTCCCTTTGCCTTACATCCGTGGCCCGATCACGGAGGCCATAATCCTTGCTATGTCTTCGATCATGGGGGCAGTGCGAAACCACATTAGGTGCAGAAAAATTTTGGAGGGAGGAGGGAAAGGTCAAGAAAGACAAGGAAAAGCAGGACTTTCGCCGTCGATTCATTTTAGGCGAAAGCACAGAAACCTTGTGAGCGTCTTTTTTTTTTTTTTTTGAGCATTTTAGCTACGCAGTCATTTCTCCAAATTGTATAGACAAGTCCTAAACTTGGAACTGATGCTGCTGATCATCATACTGTCAATCCCTTGATGAGAGAAATCATCAGACCACGCATAGTCAGATTAAATTCTAATTTCTAAGAAAGTGGGTTTGCATGCCACGCACCATATTATTACAGTAATATGGAAAGATATTATGCACCATACTATTAGCATTAGTCGTTACAAAAATCACAAGCATGTCAAGTTGGTGATGTCATTGACCTTTCCAAATGAACGAGATGCGAGAGCTACGCGAGTTAATTTTAGGGGCAATGCTCTTTCAGCCATGGGTCTATACATGCTTGTCTCTCTTGGTACGTGACTGCCCAATTCTACGACTCACTCAGAAGGTGTGGACTGATGGACGGGGGATTCACAGTTTGCTGATAAAACCGTTTGAAGCTTCGTCCCACTCATCATCATTCACTTCGTGGATATGTTGTCATTGCTTTACTTTTGGTACAAATACTGCGCCGACGGAGACATATTCCACTTCCCACGAAATTGCTCCAAACAACAGAATGCAGAACGCAGTCACGTAAAGCAAATTGATTGCACGAAAGAAAAGAAATTATATGAAGTGCGGAAACGTGCAACCATGAGATAGCCATTTACTACGCGTATATATGTGTGCCAAGATCCTTAAGGCGAGCCAGCGTGAGCATACGGCAGAGCAGCTGATCGCTGGAAGACAAGGAAGAAAAAGCTCGTTATTCCAACAGAAAAAAAAAAGGGGGGGAGGGGGGCTCGTGCAGGCGTGACAGTTTAGATTGCGGTCAGAACGGGCCGGACGGCTACCAAATCTGCATCGCCGCATTGTACCGCATCATACGCTCTCCAGGTTATTTTTTGCTATCTGCAGCTTATTCTTTTCTACGGCACGCTTACATTCCTCATTCAACATGAAATAGCGACATGTGCGTGCAGAATGCATTAATCAAATGTGCGCGTAAGTGTGAATGATTGCCGTGACAAAACAGCTGAACGAAAATATGCAAGATCCTCACTCCAGAGTTACCAAACGTGTCACTTGTGTCGAGAGTCGCTACAGTATAGTGTTAGAGTGACACAATAATAAATATTGCCCATATTACCGCAACGTTGACTAATAGAGGCTAAAATATCGGGCGCGTACCAAATGCCCGCCGTCTCAACGCGGCTTTCATTGCAGAGAGAGTGTGCAAAGGTTTGGGAGTTCACCGCGAAAGGCTCTCACTCCTCCCATGTATTTGTGTGGCGCTTTGGATACTCCCCACATTCCAGGCCACTCTCGTGAAAGCACCTTTGGAGGGGTTTACGAGTGAACTAATACACACCAGGATATGCATTTTCATGACTTAGCACTCCTCTACTGCAGTGAAACCACCTTAAAAGGGGTTATGCGCAGGCTAATACACACCTATTGGTTGATTCGATATATTCAATAACTTCAATTCGAATCAAAGTGAATTCTGATATTCGCACAAGCTTACTGCAATCCATGTGAACACCGAATTACGCTTCAGTGAATACAATTATACTCTGCAACAACCTATTTTGACATTGCAGTAAAGGCTACAGAGGCAGAACTTCCCCACATTCATGTTGCCCCGCAAGTAGTACGGCAGCTTGCGGCCGATTTCGCTTTCGCTTGCTCGCATCGCTGACACATTCAGAAAATTATATACTAAAAATGTGAATGAAAGTAACATATTATTCAGTGTACAACTTAATTACATATTTTTAGCATACTTTTCATAGAGAACTTTGGAAAACAGATGTGCTGAAAAGGTGGTGCCGTCTAAGAATTACAAAGAAAAGGAAGGCATTCATGCAAAATTAACAGTAACTGTATTTTACCAATTACTTCCTGCAACAGTTTGAATTACAAAATAAAGCAGCATTTAGTTTAGAAAGGTAAAGCGAGATAATTTTTAAAACTGTTTCCTTGGCATTGTAAAAGGCATGCGCTTCGGTTGTGTAGTTCCCAAGCGCTGTCAAGAAAAGTATCTCAGAATAGCTAAACGCAGTGCTGTCAAGAAAATTTGTAGCTTAGTATAGCTAAATGAGTAATCCTGTAAACAGTGAAGAAGAGTGTTCTTGGCTGGTTATTCGCCTTCAATTACGTTCTAACAAACCCAGTCCTCTAACCTTGTCATTTTATGACGAAAGCACTACTCTTCAGATTTCCTGAGAATTTGCAGTTCACCATATTCGTACGCACCAATACTACTTCACTATGCCAAACAAGGGTTTCAAATGCATGAATCTATTTGCATATAAAGAAACAAACAAAAACATTTGCTTTGATACAACCAAAACTATGTTCCATTGTATCACAATGACTCTTAAGCAAAGGGTTAGTAGTCTGAAGCACCACACCCACCTTCTTTTGTAGGTTTTCCATTTGTTTCCCAAATGTCTTGGGAACAGCTCGTTGATGGTTACAGAGAATGGCTACAGCCCTGTTTGCCCGATTGTAGGCCAGCATCTTTTCAGGCAAGGACATGTCAGCTAAAAGAAAAAAAAAGTGCTTCCTGTTAGCCTCTGACCTCTGGCAAATTCAGTGTTGGAACGGCCATTTGACCTTTCAGTGCAGTGTTCATTATGCATAGACATAACAAAATCTTAAATTTATCTCAAAAAGTGATTAAAAAGAGTGGGGCTGGCCTATGCACATCAATAAGGCACTCACTGCCACAATCTTCAAATAGTATGTATAACTTATATCTAATAAAATATGTTTCCTGCATGCATTTAATGTTCGTTGGTTTAGATGGCTAGACATCCCAAAGAAGCATGTATATAATGCAGTGATGGAAGTGACATTTTGATTTTCGGAGCAGATCATGGAGCAGAAAAAATGGGGCTTTGGAGCAGCCTTGATTGTTTTGGAGCAGATAAAATGCTAGCCTGCTGGAGCAGCCATTGTTGTTTTTAGACCTGAAAGCAAAATATTCCGACCGACTTCGTCCAACATCTAGATAAACTTCTGTAGATGCGATTTTTTTCTTTTGGTTTTTTTAAAGAAGAGGTTTTTGGGGGGAGATGGGGGGTCAATTTACATTAAAGTCTATCAAGAATCGTGTAATCAACAGTAATTGACATTACTGTGAAAACAGAATGCATAACCACTACATGCTGCAGAACTTCGCTTAGTGCACATAAAAACCTGAAAGCTTAGCTTTGAACTAACATTGTGGAAGATGAACCACTGACAATATGCATACTTTCCCATTGTTTGATTCTCCAGTATATGCAGGCATGGTAGAATTGCAATATGATCACGGTTCATACAAACTGTGGGGCGATTATTCTGTAGCCCCGACCAAGGTTTATTAATTAGCATACCAAGGGACAAAAGTATGGTTCTTGTGAACAGATTTTCACCCACAACGTTCAATATGAAGTCAGCTGTCCTGAACATGCAAACAAGCGCTGCCTGCACTGCCACGAAAGACACTGCAGTCATGCGCGGAAATGAGCATTAGCTATAAGTTTTGCTGGTTGTCAGCTTCGTTAGCATCCTCTATGAACTGCACGACGCAAGACCAATGATGTTGAGCAGAAATTACGGGAGGCCTTATTACACCGTCGTGTGCTTTGGCTTTTATATTACAAATGATGCGAACATCATGCTCTTAATTGATATGTGTTGATATGCATTGATAATTGATATGCATTGATATGTGCTGCTGTGCTCGAGGCCACGTTGTAATTCTTTGCTCATGTTTACGTGCCTTGTTGAAGCAAGCTAAGTTTCGCAATAAGAATTCCTTCGAAAGGTGAATAAGGTTGAAAGAGAGATGCAGATAGACACGGCAAAGAAGCTGGGCCTTATAACATGCATGACTGATAGAGAATTCTGACCTGCCACTTCCCAATTTACCTGGGAGTCTTCAGACATTCAAAGCATGGACCCAAGTCTCCCCAAAACAGGGCCAACCCCACGGCGAAAAGAAAATACTTAAAGGCAGGGGTTCTAAAATTTTTCTAGACATTGGTCTATTGCACGCAGAATGCTAGCCGCTCTCATTAAGCCCGAAACATATGCAGCGTTTTCCAGCGTTCAAGGCGTTTTGTACGCCGGAATCACTCGGTGTCAACAGTGTCGGTGGCCGAAACGTCCACTTCTGGACGTTTAACTTATCTGCAGGGTCGGCGTCAAAGCGAGTCGGTAAATGGAGAAACAATCAGCGTACAGCTGCTAGCTACATCCGCTACCTAACAGCATTGTTGCTGCTGCCAAAAAGGCTGCCGCCAGCCTCAGAAAGTCGTTGCCGTGCTCTGTGTGGCCCGAAAATTCTCAACTGATGCTTGTATTTTACTTAGCTTGGTACTCAGAAGCTTTGACAGGAAACGCCCCAAATTTCTTCGAGCCGTTTTAGAGCGCCATACTCAAGTACATCGGTAAGGTTAGCAGGCTTGAGCGCATGGCCTAAATATGTGGCCTTAAAGATGCACAACTTCCAAGCTCAGGGGCCATATATTGAGAGTTTCTGGTTCTTATTCTGAACAGCTAGCGCTACAAGAAAAAAAAAAACTTTTCGTTAGTACTGTGATTTGTTTCCCTCACCCAAGAACAGCAAATGAGACATGAAACCGGTTTTCAGTGTTTGTCAATACTTCTTGTTGCTGCATTGACAAACACTGCACAATGCTTGGCGAGGTGCCCGGTTCATTCTGTTTGACACAATCTGTGATGCTGCGCCAGCGCTGGCCTCAGCTCTTTCCATGTGGCTAAAGATAAAGTGGCAGGACTGCCCAGCAGGCACTCAGCTGACTGCCCATACTATATAGTAGTGTCTATATTCTAGGCACTATACCCGCACTGCCCGTGATAATCACAGTGATGTTGCTGCCAATATGGACGTTGTGACCTCTTGGTAGCAGTATATTTCTATTTCAGTGCCCCGAATGTTTTTATTACAAAAGAACGCTACAAATAATAAGCCATAAATACAAGCTTGAGTTTTCATTACCAGTTGATTGACAAAAACTTTACGCCGCTTAACGAGATTTCACAATGAATCTATCTGGTCTCACTGTGCGACGTTGAGCTGAACGCTGGCCTTGGCGCTCCTCATATGGTGCCGCCCTCTCTGGCGAAGTTCCCCTGATGACGCCGAAGGAAGCGACGCGGGGAAAACACTGGCAAAAACGCTGCATATGTTTCGGGCTTTAAACTTCAATGGTGCTCAATTGTTCAAGCGTACACGCAAGCTAAAGGTGTCACGGTACAAATATGGTGGATATGAAGTGAAAAAATTATTTGCTGGACTTCAAAATTCATTATAAAGTTCAACTGTATTATTGATGGATGTTGCATTGAACACATTTGAATAAAGTTGCAATGTGCGAGTGCACATCTGCATTGGCTGCACCTAGAGACTTCACCATAAATATGCTGCATTCGAGGGTAGCTTGGGCTCAGTGCCATACATTCCTCGAGTATTTTAAGCATCTGTCAAAGCCAGGCAAGTTTGCAGGGCAAGCACGACATCTTGCTGTTGTCAGGCTGCTTTTTCCAGTGCATTACTAATGACTCTTGCTACTGGTAAGTGCCTAGATAAGAGGGCATACCTTCGGTTAGAAGCTCCAACTGTTCCTGAAGTGTCTTGGAAGCATTGTAGGTACGGAAGACTTTGGCAGTCAGGCCTTCCATAAGCTCATTGAGATGCTTGTTCAGAATGCTTGTCTAAGAAGAAGAATAAACATAAAAGAAATAAATCAGCAAAATAGACAGAGGATACTATAAGTTTTACACAGTGCATTCAATTTACTTACATTCAGCCGATCAAAAAGGTCATCTTGAGGCTTTTTATTCTCCATGAAGAGCTTTAGATTCTTGAAAACTCGCTTTTCCACTGGAACTGCATTCACATAACGAATAGAGTCTTTTCCGAGGAAATCAAACTCCACCACAAACTCCTTGCCATCTTTCTGATCGTGCAGTGTGATGTGCTCAACACGCAGAGAGCAACAGCCTACTGTGTCTGCAGTCTCTCCTTCTTCTTTTTCGTTGCCAGCCCTCAATGCAAGCTAAAAAGCAAGTAAAAAAAAAATTTTACCAATGATGAAATGGCTACGTTTCTAGAGGTTTTCGAAACATTTACAGTCCAGTCCACTTACAACAATATCAAAGTGCCAACAAAATTCCATTTTATAACCGATAATTATCATAAGCAAGTTGAGAAAATAAAGACAAAAAAAAAGTCGACATGTTATTCCCATGCAAGTAAGGTAGTGCAAATATGTATAAAAGTACTACTGACTGGGCGAGTTGGTGCATGATAAATTGATAGTGCTTTAGTGCAGCTCAGTTTGAGCTTAAAGGAAAGATGCTATGCAGTCAAGAAGGAGAAAGACGGACGACAGTGTGAGCGCTAACTTCCAACTCTTGTTTAGTGCGTACCCTTACAACACATTATATAGCTCATCCCATGTGACGCCACACACATGACATAACCGTACTCATGTGGCACAGCACGCGCTACCAAGGAAACCTAGTTGTGATCTGATCTCTGTTGACTTTCGTGAGGCAGGTGTCAAAGTATACGACAGAGGAAGCGATTCCATGTCTTATTTCTGAGGGTGTTGATGTGGTTGCCCACTTTGAGGGAGCACCAAATGGTGGTTTTGGGACGTTAAACCCCACAAATCGATCAATCAATCACTTTGAGGGAGCACGTCCGAATCTCTCGGTTAAGCGCGTCGCTGACTACCTGACGGACAATTCTCCATGTGTGCTGCCAGCTGATAAGGAAGCTGTTGCTGTGTTCTTCCTACGAGGGTGTTTTGTGAAAAAGCCAAAAGTGCCATTGTGAAAGAAAGTCTTCAAGCGGTGTGATGACGTGCCATTGAGCAAGGTGAAGTCGTCGGCTTTTTTAAGCTATGCAAGAACTTCTACCTTGGTAAATTAAAGAAGTCCATAGCAAATAGCAAAAGGAACCACCTGTTGGTTCAATTCAGCGCAAAAACCGATAAAGTTGATGTTCCTCTAAGGGTTATTGTGTTAGAATATGACTCCTGGCCGAAGCCAGTAGCACTGTTTTTACAAGCCAAGCGTGAGTTTTTTGTCCATTAAAGATCCCTTCCTGAGAAGGAACTCTAATCATTTTTTTTAGAAACTAACACTGACAAAGGTTACCAAGCATTTTCTATTGAAATCAAAGATCTTTTTTACTCAATTCTTCATAAAGACCTGCTCAAAGTAGTGCATTGATGAATATGGTGCCAAAGGTTCCACAATGACACCTTCACATCTACTAGTGATTTTTCAGAGCTTTTACATTTTTATCTCGTGTCAACTTTTAATAAATGAGATGACGCTGTTTATCTACAAAAAACGGGGGTATGCATAAGATCATGCGTTAAACCCATTCTGAGCTATCCTTTTCACGCCCGTCTTGATGTTGTTCTGTCCGATAAGCTCGCTCAGACTAAAGCGCACAAGGTTTTTCGGTATGTGGACGATTTCTTGTTTTTTTATTGAGTGTATTTCAGTTGAAATTGAGCTGCAGGTTGCAGAAATCGTGCAAATAATTAAGAAGTGTCTTGTACCCCTTGAAGTGACATACAAAATATCGCAAGAAGGCACAATCTGCTTTTTGACCTTCGTCTCTGTTATTCGCTTGCTGGTGCAATGAATTGGAGTCGAAAAAGCCTCTCTTGCAGTACAATTTGGCGCATTCAAAGCTGATAAAACGAGGAATTGCCCCATATTTTAGAAAATGCCCTGTTAGGTAATGCGTCCCACTATAACCGTTGGTTTTGCAAGACAAAGCAAGTGATTATCCTTGGCAGGCTACCAAGTGTTGGTGCAGGTGTCGGCAGCTGAGTCTGTTGCGTGGTCCATGTATGCGGGGACGGCCGCAGACCAATGGTGAGCCCGATGCTGGGAAAACCAGTTGCATACAGTACGTACATCAAATTTCTCACCATTTGAAAAAGATAGCCCTAAGAGGAAATGTCCGCGTAGTGTTCTCTGCTCTCGACAAAATTAAGCCGTCTATGTGAGCTTACAAACCCAAAGAAGGAGGTGCAAACCACCAGTGGAAAGAAGCATGTAACTAAGTTTGTTGAATGCGTCCTAGCTGTTTACATAGGACAGACTGGTAGGAGTGTTAATGACCGCTTGCGTGACCATGCTTGCAATGTAAAAAACGAAGGCTATGCATTGTAAGATGTGTAGATGCACCCAATTCTTTGACCAGTGTGTTATCTTGGGCCACAGTCGTAACCAGTTGACATGGCAAATTATTGAGACGAACGCTATGCAACGTATGCGAATCTGTGTGTGAGTACGCCTCTGTGGTTCATTCAAAAGAGCTAAATTTTATCTTGGGCCACAGTCGTAACCAGTTGACATGGCAAATTATTGAGACGAACGCTATCGCAAAGTATGCGAAGCTGTGTGTGAGTACGCCGTCTGTGGCTTCATCTCAAAAAGAGCTCAATTTTCTGGAGCCTGTGCTGTGAAGCATTGATATAGGATTGTTAATTTCAGATCAGATCACAACTAGGTTTCCTTGGTAGCGTGTGCTGTGCCACACGTGTACGGTTTTGTCATGTGTGTGGAGTCACGTAGAATGAGCTATATATAGTGTTGTAAGGGTACGCAATAGACAAGAGTTGGAAGTTAGCGCTCACACTGTTGTCTATCTTTCCCCTTCTTGATGGCATAGCATCTTTTCTTCACGCTCAAACTGAGCTGCACTGAAGCAATATAATTTTATGTATACAAGACAGTGTGTCAACTCAGTGCTTTACGCGAAGCTCGCACACATCTTTCGCGGAAGCATAAGGTGCTCCACATAATTGCGCGGAAGATCATTGGCAAAAACAAGTCCCCAAGGAATTGTACCATCCATTGGGCCTCCTGCAATGAGTGGTCTAGTGGCTAAGGTACTCGGCTGCTGACCCGCAGGTTGCGGGTTCGAATCCCGGCTGCGGCGGCTGCATTTCCGATGGAGGCGGAAATGTTGTAGGCCCGTGTGCTCAGATTTGGGTGCACGTTAAAGAACCCCAGGTGGTCGAAATTTCCGGAGCCCTTCACTACGGCGTCTCTCATAATCATATGGTGGTTTTGGGACGTTAAACCCCACAAATCAATCAATCAATCCTGCAATGAGTACCTGGGCAGGTGGCTCAGTGTCGCTGCCCTCACCACTGTCCGCAGCACGTATACGCGCAACAATCGCCTCATCACAAAAGCGCTCAGACATTTCTGCAATATCGCCTGCATGAAGTGGTCCCCACACGACGCATCTCCGTTAAGCACTGACCACAACTCCAACAGCTTTTCGTCGACAGGTGCTTCGCAGGTTTCTCCTGGCACTCGGAAGCACTCGCGACGGTATCATATGGCACGAGGAGTGGTGGTGGGTGCTTTTGTTATTTTATGCTTAGCGAAACATGGAACAGATTGTCTCCTCTCAGCTTATTTGCTCCGCCTGCTTGCACAATGATTGCATTTGTTCTCGTCGTCTTTTCATAGAAGCAGCTTGTCACAATTCACGCGACTACATAGCATGCATTACCCAGACATGTGAAGCTCTATGTCCAGGCTGCCCTCGTGAATTTTTCACACATCCGTGCGTGTATAAACAGCCTTAAGAGGTAATGGGGTTGTCTGAAGGATTGAAAAAAATCTTTCTAAAACTTGAGAACTACTCAATTTAACGAAATATTCCGACCCTGTCACTCCTTTCATTGAATTTGGTCAAAATCCAAAAAACTCAAAACTTGTCGAAACCAACCAATGCATTTTTCAGTTTGTTGTTCGTTCACACACACAAATATTACAAAATCATACAAGGACATAAAAAAGGCACACACAACTTGGGGAAACTACTGCATTGAAGAATACCAGTCTTTGTAAAAACAGCACTCATTCTACAACTAGTAGAATGAGTGCTGTTCTACAACTAGTAATCTTTAACTCTATCATATTGTCGCTAGGTGAAAATAACAGAATACAGGACGACGGTGCGACCAGAAAAAACGAGGTCTGTATTAACAGAACAAAAGAGCAGCCGCTTCGACTTCTTCTTCCTCGGAGGAACCGTGGGTGCTGTCCATGCTCATGACTTCATCGTCCTCTGTCTTCTTTCCGGCCTTTAGCCGTGACAATATATTAATATTGACAACAGTACAATTATTATTATAGTGAGTTATTGCACACAAAAATACAAAAGAGACATCACCATCTGTACTTGCCAAAAAGCATACGTCTAACAGTTGAGCTTGTGACCGTGACATCTTGGGTTCAATCCACATGTTGAATAAACCTATTGTATCTCTCTCTCTCTCTTTTTTTGATGTGGTTGCACTTTACTAAAAAAAAAAGCTTTCGTACCTGCCGTGATGACTAGTCAGCTTGAAGCCACTGGTTTGACTGTGCAACAGTCGACACCAGTGTACTTCATTGATTGATTGATATGTGGGGTTTAAAGTCTCAAAACCACTATATAATTATGAGAGACGTCGTAGTGAGGACTCCAGAAATTTTGACCACCTGAGGTTCTGCACCCTCGTGTACTTAAGTCTAAGCGATTACTGAAGCAGCCCAGCTGGTCAAAATTCATCTAGGTTCCCAGACCCCTGGTTTTATAGTTTGCTTTTCAATATTCTCCTCTGTTCTCACTGCTCAAGCCACTAGAGGAAATAGGACTCCTAGGGTCGTTTTTTAACTACATAACAATACTCGTTATCTCGCTTGCTTCTGTTGTCGCTCTGGAGGACTGCACGCTCGACATTTTCCAATAAAGATGCCCCGAATACGCCTTTTTGTTAATGTAGGAACAACTCCGAGCAGCGAGAGCCCTATTTTGCCGTATCGCGACCCCCTTCGACGCACTGGCTGCCAACGGCAATGAATTGACATTGGCAAAAGAGCGGGATCGCCACAACGGTGTAACGGAGGGTTGATTGCAGGAGACGTTGCCACGTGAGCGTGATGCACGAACGACAGATTTTCAAAGGCGTTGTCGGCAACGCAGCCAGAATGTCTAGCAAGTCAGCTTTTCAAAACTCTTCCG